ATTTCAATCGCGTGTGTTTGATGCTTCGCCTGAGGTACTCTGCCCATTGAGAAATGTTCACTCTGATGATGTGCGCACACAAACAGTTTGTGCAGGGCAGTTGTTCGCACAAACAAACATAAAACAAATAATGAATGGTCTAGCGATAATCCGATGACATTCACCCGTACCCCCGCGGTCAGCTACGCCCCCGAATTTTGTTCCATCTATGTGGTCTTCACCTCCTCCTCGGCGTAAGCTCGTCTGCTGTTTCTTGTTGTTTTGGTTCCGGTTTTTTTGCTATTGATAGCTGGGCTGTGTTTTCCTCTAGCTTCCGCTTCCCGTCCCCACATATTATACCCCCCACGTCCATTCATCACCGGGAGACTGCATCTCAACGTGGTCTGGTAACTTGCGCGCCTCCGTGACCCTGAAACTGAAACAGACCCTGGCTTCGTTTCACACAGCCATGTGTTGAAGGAATCATGTGTGACTAACTGGCCTGCCGTGTAAAATGTATCCTAGCATTGAGGAATGTGCCGGTAGAGATGCGGTCGAAACATTCGTGCATCAGACATGGAATCTTCTTCTGCTGTCTTCTCTCAAAAGCATTATTATTATTGTTGTTATTATTATTATTATTATTACACAAGCTTTGTACGTTGATTAGACCACTATGATACATTCCCGAGAAAAGTAAAGTAGAAGTATTTGACGCTTATGCGAAGAGAGAACACTTCTCACCATATACAGTGCTGCCTAGCTTTTCAGTTCACGCTTCATTTGCTCTGCGTACTACGAAACCCAACTACGGAATAAACAGACTCACATAGAAGAGGAAGACAGTGGCTAGGTTTAAGCGGTCCGCACGGGANGATAAACTGCCATCTGTCAGTCAGTTCTCCGGTTCCAGCCCCAGTTGGGTTTACGGATTCGAATTGTTAGTAACACTTGACCTCCACTACTCCAAGTTGTGTTCATCGTCAATGTGCACTTTTTATGTCTGTGTACGTTGTCATATATGTACGAACATTCAGATCAATTATGTGCTGCTCTACCCTCACACTGATAAGAAGTCTCTCTGACCACGTTGCGAGGAGTTGGCGAGCCCTCGTGACTTCTGTTTTCGGGTTGGATTTAGGCAACTTGCACGAAATAATGCGGCGGATGCGTACCAAGTTTTATATGTTGTGAGTCGATCACCCTTTCAGTTTTCAGTTTGAACAACCATTAACCATGCGCTTTCGTGCGCCGGTTTTGGTTGCTGTCTT